TTTTCGTCGTTTTCAGACGTTCACGATTCTTCGAACGACGTTAAACATTCCCGACTTCAGCTTTCTCTGCGATTTGTCTCGCAGTCGAGCTTGAATTTGACGCTATGGCACGTATTATGGCACGTTTGTCCCGGGTTGTTGGACACTGCGGTCGTCCACAGCTTTCTCCTCCGTCCATAATTATCAGGATCTCTTGGTAAATTCGTTATTAGTTTACGGCTTCTGTCAACTGTTCTCGCCATTTTTGTCACAGAACAACGTTCTTCGTTTGATTTCAATATCGCGTGTTACTTCAGTTGGACGTGACTTTTTCCCGCGGGCCATTTTTACAAATGTTAATTGTATTTCGCACGCCTTTCGACAGCTTCCGTACGACTGACGAGCGTAAATATTCGACCTGTTCAATCTTCGTCAATATTTACACTTTCGTTTTTGTATTTTTGAGAAAAATTCAACATACATACACGCTCAAGGATATCAGTGTGATAATCTGCTTAATACAATTTATATACAGTGTGTTATTTTCTTGTCCTGGGATGTATTTATATCTGTTATATAGAACAGATTATTCTACAATCTATTTCATAGTTGTCTCTCATTCTGCCTGTTAAAAAAAAAGAAAGGTCGTATTGAATTTGACGATTCTGCATTTCGTCATCGAGAAAACCGGCCATGGCGAATGAAATCGTCGGCAAGAAACGCGGGCAGGGTGTCGATTATCGACGACCATCGGCTGCATTACAAAGGGAATCGCATTTAATCATGTCGCGAGCATACGATTTGTCTGGCGGAGCGTTCGAAAATTTCCCTGCGGACCCGAGTGGCGTCGAGTGATCATCGCTTTCATAAAACGTACAAAGGTAGCTGGTGTAACTGTTATCGCAGACGAAACGTGATAAAAAACCACGCGGGAAACTACGCGGAACTCCGCGTTCTGAGACATTTCAGCATCACGTGCTCATAACGACTATACTACGCGCGAGTGAAAGATGCATGTAAATTTCACCGCGGTGCGCGCTGAAAAATTCTATGCATTCCTAAACGACCATGCGCCTTTTGTCTCTGTTCAAAATCACCCATTGATACAAAACGATCGAGCGTCAGGCCGTGCACTTTACTCTCCTCGTCTCGAACGATTGTGAAACAACATCGAGACTTGGCCATTATTGGTCGAAACTGTTCGAATATGTTTCGCAAATGATGAATCGAATGATATACGTACGTAACTTAACGTTAATCGGACAATTAAAATAAAGAGGAAAACATTGATTAATAATATCTGCGTATTTTAAGTTCAAGTTAAGTTCGGTTGATTACAATGAAATATTGTATTTCGATCTTTTGTTGTTGCTTGATTTTTCTTTTCTATCTAATGAATTAAAATGTATACTGCAACTTAATCTGACGGCTAATGAAGAAGAATTTCGAGAAACAATTAACAATACATTTTTTAGGTTAAGTTTCGTTCAGTTGATTATAA